CATGAGAAAAGAGAGAAATTCCCCAAATTACCTGGTTGAGCCGGAGTAATCCACCACTGCTGGGAAAAATGGCTGAGTTTCTTGAATCAACTGAGAAAGTATGCTGCAAACAGAGGGATTCAACAAGAACGGTATAACTGCTTTGCTAAAAGACAAGTATAAACTTTACAGGGCTGTTGCATGGGAAGAAAGTCTCCAGGCTGTACCGATAGAGCGGATTTCAGGGAGTGTCCACTCTGTTCTCGAACAGCAAAAGAAGCACTGCGGGCGAGGCAGCCCAGCTCCCTCCACATCCCCTCCCACTTCAACGTGTGGTTGGTGATTCCAATAGGAAACTAATTGTGAACAAGAGTTGAGAATGTTTTAATGACTAATTGTGCCGTTTCAAAAACACACACACAGACACTGACTTACATTGACTTCTGCTGACACTCCTCTGTCCGTCTCCTTCAAGGAGCTCCATGGGAACTGACCGCTGACTTTGTACATGTTGAGAATTAGGCTGGAACAGAGACAGTGCATTTTTTAGCAACGGGGATGACTGAACAATACAGATATGATTCGTGATTTTATTTGTTCACGATACGCCTCTATGTTATGAAAAACACATTAAAATATTAGATAGGAAAGAGAATCTTAGCATCTTTAATTCTGCCACCTCCAGCTCCGCCTCCTGTCTTCTGCCTATTGCTACCGTCTCTAAACCATACATCATGGCTGTTCTCACCACCGTCCTGTAAACCTTTCCCTTCCCCTTAGCTGACACTCTTCTGTCACAGATCCCTCCTGACACTTTTCTCCAGCTGTTCCATCCTGCCTGTACTCTATTTTTCACCTCTCTTCCACAGTCTCCGCTGCTCTGAACAGTTGATCCTAAGCACCTAAACTCCTGCACCTTCACCACCTCTGCTCCTTGTAGCCTCACTATTTCACTGTTCTCCCTTTCCTTTACACACATGTCCTCTGTCTTGCTGCGGCTGACCTTCATTCCTCTTCTTTCTAGTGCAAACCTCCACCTCTCTAGATTCTCTTCTAGCTGCTGCCTACTCTCACTACAGATCACAATGTCATCTGCAAACAACATAGTCCATGGGGACTCCTGTCTGACCTCATCTGTCAATCTGTCCATCACCACAGCAAACAAGAAGGGGCTCAGGGCCGATCCTTGATGTAGTCCCACCTCCACCTTGAAGTCATCTGTCCTTAGTATATTCTAACATCATTTGTATTTATTAATAGTTAACAGTAAATGTATTAATATTAATAGTAATATTGCTGTTGTTTAACATTACATTCAAAAGTATGTCCTGCTGCATACTTGCGCTCAAACTTTCCAGGTTGGGGCTTGAAGAAAGACAGCCCATACGCAGTCTCCTTAGTACCGTATGAAAACTGGAAGGTAAGTTTCTCCGCACGACCAAGCGTGTTGGGTAGTTTAACACCCAGCACCTGCAAAGTACATGGGGAGGAGGCGACAACGGTCAGGTCGGTGACAGTCTTGTTTTAAATAATATGCTTCTGTTCAAGAAAAGGTTATTATTAATTTATCACAAAATAATACAGAAAATGTAGTAAGAATTAAATTGGAGAATCCCATATAATACGGAAAATGTCCAAATGCAGATTTTGGCATCTTCTTTTGAAGTATTAATCTTCTCAGCTAATGCTGAAACAAGGGGGGATCAGACAATCTGCACTTAAAGTAAGAATTAAATTGGAGAATCCCATATTTATCCCTACATGATACTATCCTGGTTCAGTCTGAGTACAGATATGTTCCTACAGGAATGAATTCAGCAAAGATGTTTTTCCTGAATGGTTGTCTTACCATGCTTCCTTCATTGTTTCCAACCATAGTTTTGTAGCTTCCTGTAAGCCTCCTTATCTCAGTCACTTCAAATGTTACATCAAGTCCATTCGGCAGAGCGTCGGTGCCTAAGGAAACATGTCACGCCATGTCATGTCATTTGAGGGCTTCACTGCTGGAATTGGTTATATACAGGAATTAATGACTGACTACATGCACTCACATTGAAAATGTCCCCATTGTAGGGACAGTTAAGGGACTCAATTATTATTAACTATACAGTGCGTGTCATTTCACCCTTTTTAAAAAGTAATGAAAAATATAATCAGATCTCCACAAACGAATTACTGTGATTAACAAGTAATGACAGTCTCAATAAATATTAGAATTATTGTTTTTATAACCAAAATTACAATATCATACAATTTACCTTCAGATGTATCGATAAGAACCTCCACATCTTTGAAAATTCCTAGGCGCAGCAGTTTCTGTCTCGCGACATGTGCTCTTTTCATCACCTGTGTGGAGGCAGGAAAAAGAACCAACTGATGAACTGATTTGTGTGTATGTGCATTCAGGGTGGACCAACTGTACCCCTTGATTTCTGAATATATGCTTAGAGCAGCATTAGCATTACATAGCATAACCGCAACAGCCGTACTAACATCAATGAGGTTTTTGGCCAGGAAGACGTCGGAGATCTCGTAGCCAAGCAGATCTTCTTTTGTTCGTCCAAGACCCTGAATGTTGACGTGTTGCACAACCACCTGCGATAGAATTATGTTTTTGGATTACAACATTATAAGTAAAGTGCATGAAAACACATTTAAAGTAAAAATTCACGGGAGCTGGTTGCCTTTGGCTATATCTATAATATTATAGCATATATTTTACACGTACAATTACAGGGGTCCCCCGACTTCCTACGGCACGATGCAACTCGATTTTCGCCAGAAGTCGGAACTCACATAATGTACATAAGTACATATAACACTAACCTACGCTAACACAGAACATCAGAAGAGTCTAAGCGACGCTTGGGAGCCAAAGTGAATTGCAAAATGTTCAAATAAAACCTCCAAATGAAGTACAATTCAATGTATATACAATTCAATGTATATACAATATATGCGTTCTTGTAAGAATAATGCGGTGTTACTACTAATATATTCATATGCAAAATCACAGATATTGCATTTTCATTCACCAAAGAATGTTATAACATTGTTTACATTCTCCAGGCACCATTAAAGCACCAGACCCATAAAAGACCAAAAGATTGGAACGTATAATATGGCTCACGTCTTTGTTCTCAAGGATCTCCTGCTTTGCCTCCCCCATCCTTTCTGGAGTCTCAACTAAGGTGTCAGGGTGGATGTCCAGGTCACGGCCTTGCATCGGGAGGGTATCCAGACTCTGCACCAGTGACAGAAGCAGAACAAATTGTCATTACAATTCTCAATCACAAAGAAAATTATCGTCGGAGTAGTGAATGTAACTCTAATAGTAATCTCTGGTTTATACAGGTATCAAATATAAGTTAGGTAAGACTAAAATTGAACCAAGAAAATACGTCTGTGGCACATCCATCACATTTGATCACCCAAAGAGGAACACCACCCCCCCTCGGTAAAACACGCTGTCATGCTTTCAATGTGCCGGTGATTTGAGTCATCGTTAGAGGCTAACCTTCCAGTAGGACAGTGAAGAAACTTTACAGTGGTTTAGGGTCGAAGATTAACATGTTTTTAAATAACCGGGTCAACACTTAAACCTAAATATAACTGAAAATGTCACCTTTTTTTTTTAAACAAAGGTAGTATGCTTTGTCCTTGTACGTGGTCCACGAATGACAGGCTTCAACGATACAAATGTTAAAATAAAATAATTCCGGTCTTAACTCATACAATCTATACAAACTTAACTTTTTTTTTGGTTCAAGCCAATGTTCAACAGTACATTTACTCGTAGCTTACAGCACCTATTTTGACTAAAACTCAGATATATAACATCCCTAACCAGAAATAATAAAAAAATTCTGTTGGTGAAAACTCGCATTATTACGGACAGGGTTTACAAACGATATGTGGGTCAGTGTCTTTGCTCGTCCGTGGGTTAGTTTTTCTCACACAGGGTCACAGAAAAGCTGAAAATGACAGGCGCCAGCCTCCCTGTACCGAGCGGAAGGTTATGGTCTACAGACCCCTTACAAACCATATTAAAGCAAGAATAAAAAAAGATTTACCTTAGCATGGACCGCCCCCATGGTGAGAACTGTCCCGAGGTCTTGGAACCGCTAGGTTCCCTTCCCTTAATGACGAATAAACTGACAATTACCGTGGCTACTTCTTCGGGGGACAAACCCTCTTCAGGGAGACGCCATGACAGTTATATGCTGCGTTTACGGACCGCTTTCATGGCATGGGGACACAAGTTTTTTGTTCCTTTCTGTTATTTTCCAAAAATGCCGTACACAAATTTAGAATCATGTTAATATAAATATCAATAAACAACGATTTCTAGGTATTTATTTCCAATTATTGAAAGGCGGCTATGACTAAATCCGTATTTAATACTTTATTATTAATGATTTCTCAGTTCAGAAGTTACGGCCTTTAACTCTTTATTTGGTGTTAAATATTATTTACGTTATTATGAATAATCTTCGTTCTATTAACGCTATAATATGAACCGTCTTGTTCGTTTTTAATTACCGTATTATAAAAAAATGCGCTAAAACGTGATGTGCAATTGGACTAGTTCATTCAGAAACACATTTTCTTGCATATAAATAACACATGATTCCTGTATTAACCCCTTTGAAACCCGTGCTTATATTTTGCTATTGGTGAATACAAGGTTCACCTTTTCCCGGCGGGTGTTAGACGTTTATTGGATAAATTCAGCAAAATTACGTCACTATCACGGAAGCTGGGATTCTACGTAATGATTGGACGAACGGTTTAAGGGGCGGAACTACTTTTTGACGAATGCGCTTTAGAAAAAATGAAAAATTGTCTATGCAGAGTTTTGAAGTAAACATTCAATGTTTGTTTTAGGATTTCTGGCCCATTTCTGTTTGTTCGAATAGGTCGTTTGAAACGCCGGGATTTCTGCTCAGTGTTTGAATGCGAAATACTCGAATTCTGCGATTTTTACTTAACCAAATGTCAAAAATGTTTAGAGTCATACTGAAAATGCATCTTTAACACAGATAAGTGAAAAATATTATTATTTATTTTATGTGTTCGTTTCTTGATCTCTCATGATGGCAGGTGAGACGCGGTCAGGTGCCTCCCCTGACCGCACGTCACTGGTTGATTTTTTGTGTGTGCGTGTGTAGTTTCTGCTTATTCTGTCTAGTAAATCTTTGTGGAGTTTAGAACAGAATTTGGATTAACTTGCATCACAAGTTCAATAAAAATAATAAAACCAAGGAAAAATATTTTTAAATCTGAGTCTGACAGTATACTACCAGCATTTAAAGTTTGCTGAATATTTGTTTTACTCTGGTTTCTTCGTTACAGCCATACTATATGCAGTATTAGGTTAACTGTTTACTCAAAAGTAAGTATCTAATTAACTGTACGAGTCCTTTCCTTCTAAAATGAATAAAGAAAGTTTGTTTTAGGCTCCAGATTTAGTTCAACAATATAATTATTCTTTTGAGTAAAGGTTGTGGTAATTAGTGTAAATAAGGCTTGTCTAGGTAACGTTTGTGTTCCTTGTGTCCCGCCATCAAAAGAATGAAAAAAGCTGGAGGAGTATTTAGACTTTGTCCAGCAGGTGGCGACATTTCACTTGTCTTAAATTTAGAAAGTTTTTGACGTGAGGCGTTATGCTTATTGTGTCTGACGGGAAGATGAGTAAATACGTCGAGTTACAATAATAACTGGTGGCAGGTACACCGAGGATAATTAAAACGAGGACATATATTTAGAGTAAAATAAATAAAAAACAGTTATATACGACACTGGAGTATTAATACATGTACATATAAACGAATCAGTGAACAATGACAAGTAATATAATCATTATTTTATTAGTATTATTATTATTGTTATTAATATTATTATTATTATTATTTGACATATTTGAATAAAGAATCATCATTAGTGCGCAACGTAGTATGGTGGGTTTTTCTTGACTTAACCCTGTGAAAGACAGGCGGTACTCTTACCAGTAAAATCATACAAGTGTTTTATTTAGCATTTTTAAACGTTTCCTATAGTCGTGTAATATAAGTGTCATTTAAGTAAACCCACATTCATACAAATACGTGTATAACAAGTAATATATTATTATATAACAACATATTCTTATTCGAAGTATTTGACCCGTCCACTTCTTTCCAGTTGATATGAATGATCCTTATGTACCCAGACATCTTCCCTTCCCTCCTGCCCTCGCTCTACCCCCCTCCGCCTAGCCGGTCTCTCTCTCTTTCTCGGTAACCACTGGCAAAAATAAACCAATCAGAAAGCTCCGACTCTCTCTCTCTCACACACACACACACTCTCCCTCTCACTCTCTCATTGTCTTCCTCTCTGTCTCTGGCATCAGAAACACAGAATCCGTCTCTCACAGACACGCAGTCGCAGACATTGTCGCGCATACGCACGAGCGCGCACACGGACAGCAGGCACGGCCGTGAGAGCTCCGGCTGAATCGTCACACGGTTGTCAGCCAGCATGGAGCCCGTGCGCTTTCTGCGGGACTTATTTTTGGTTTGTTTGTTTCTCGCGGTCACAAACACGTGCGGCAGAGTGATGGGGGCTGTCGGGCTGGAAGGTAAGAGCTCTCCTCTCCTTTTCATCATCAGCAACTCCACAGTGGAGTCCGTTTGCACCGGTCACTCCAACGGTGCCGGCTGTTACCGGCAGTGCACAGTGTTGAATAGTGAATGCCGCCGTGCACGTTCTACAAGACCGCTTTGCATACACGCACGCACGCGCACACAACGCCGTGCACGTTTCTCATACACCTTTCATACACATTTTAACAATCAAAACCACAGAAGAAACTTGACGAGTAAATACAAAGACGATACTAGTACTAGTACCACTGCTACCGCCCCCCTCCGCCCTCCTCCGTAACAGTCTGATAAAATAAATGTTTAAGGTTTTTAGTCAAATGTCAGCATTACACCTTATTTTCCCCTCCGCGGTGGTGGAGGGGAAAATGAACTTCACTGAAACTTCTGTTTCCTGCGCGCACCAGTCTCCTACTCCAACGGGTAACCGCAGCTTAATCCGTTGGGTGACGCTGTGCTGTGAGAGGAACAACTGTTTTCACGTCTCCCCGTCTGAAAAAAAAAAACCGCGGTTCGGACACGAAGGAGCCGCTAGACTAGACAAGACCACAGAGCATCTTGTCTTTTGGCTTTCAGAGCCAGTGGTCAGCCCCGTCTGCTGTGAAAACTCCGACCCTGGGGCTGAACACAAATCAGGATGCGACGGCATTATGCAATGACACATCATGTTTATACAACAGCTCAGATGAAGGAAGAGTTTTTATTTACAGTTATTTGTTGCCGGGAATGGATTTGCCTTTTTAAGACAGAGGTATAAAGGCAGATGATTATGTAAGACATGGGTCCCCAACCCCCGGTTCGGGGGCCGGTACCTGTCCGTAGGTTATTTGGTACTGGGCCACAGTAGGACACAGTAGAAAAAAATGTACTTCAGTTAAAAAAATAATTCAGTCATATATCTTTACTTTTTTCATTCGAATATAATGTTTCAAAACAACAGGTCCTTCAGTCTCTGACACCGACAGAGTAAAGTCTGAAAGATGTTTTATTTTGAAAATGTAATGATCCTTCAATGATGGTGCAGTATTACTGGTCCGCTGTAACGACCTGCCTTACAAAAGACACAAAAAAGGTTGGAGACCGCTGATGTGAGACATTACTGAAATTAAATAGTTAATGAGTAAATATCAGGCTATGACCTCGGCAGAACATGAATAAATAATTAACCTTTTACAGTAAATAAAAAAACTTTCCCAAATGTCCCTAAAAAGATTGATTTTTTTTGTTTGGAACTGTAACAATCAGGGGTGTCAAACATACGGCCTGTGGGCCCAAACCAGCCCGCTTGGCAACCAAAATGAATTTGTCACCCCTCACATGTGAAGGTAGATTCACAAATCCTACACTTGGAAACATTTAAAAACAGTTAAATTGCCGACTTGGTTAAAAGGGATATGTTAACAAACACTGCTTAAAAAGCATTGTTTTCACACTGTGATCAGTTTTAATACATTTTTTTTTTTTGCTGTGAGCTGCACAGCTAACAGAAAAACCCAAAAAAAAAACAAACAAACAAACAGAAAAAGCCCTAAAGAAACATTTAATTTATTTGAATGTAGTGATGTCAAGGTTATAGATTTTCTTGGTGCGATTATGGTCAGATAATTATCAAGATTATTATGCGTTTTTGTTTAGTTTTTATTCCGCGTGATTTAAACCCCCTCTTGTGCAAACACACGTTTAGTTAAAAAAAATAAAATTGAAGTTTTTAGAAAAAGTGACAAAGAGCTTAAACATGTGGATTTGTTCGGTTCTAATTTCCTCTTCTTCCACCTGCTTCCCTGCTCTCAACAGCAGAGATTACAATGTCATCAGCAAACATCACGGTCCAGGGAGCCTCCTGCCTGACCTCATCTGTCAACCTGCCCATCACCACGGCAAACAATGACTCACTTGAACCCATCAGTCACTCTGACCTCACACCTAACGACTGTCTCGCTGGCCTTGTACATGTCCTGCATAATGCTCACGTGCTGCTACTGCTGACTCCACAGTGACTTCACGATACCTCAGTTCCTTCTTAGCTCCGCATTCATACGCTTTAAATACACAAAGACGCACCTGATCCGAACACGTTGGCTAGTCCTCACTTCGACAACTATTTCCCCCAGCTTTGTTGTATGGCTGAACTATGCAGTTATAACAACTGCACCTCAGCCTCGTTCGCAAAGATTGGTACCAGCACATTCTTTCTCCGTCGCCAGGCGTACTTTCTCTGTGTTAACCAACCTGGTGTAAAAGTCTACTGCACTCTCTCTTCAGCATCTGAAAAACAGGTGTGAAGTTGCGGCCCATGAACAGTATTGTCGTTTTAACACAAATCAAAGTATATCAATACTGTCCCGCGTTAGTTCTTATTTAGAAATATATTGTGATATATTGAAATATTGGCCAACCTAATATTTTTACGCATGCATGGTACAGACAAGGATACACATATATTCTCCAAACTAAGGAGGCATGGTGATGCAACCACGCAAACAAACCTCTGGTTAACTTCCTGTGTGTGTGTGTGTGTGTGTGTGTGTGTGTGTTAATCCATGTATTGTTAGTCATCCGTCTTGGGAATCAGTGCTCGGATGCAGCCGAGTCCTCCATCAATGAGCCGATAATATGAAGCCCCCCCCCATTAGCTGAATGGTAAAACCTTGACCTTTGACCTCTTTTCACTGTCATACAAAGACCTTGTGATTCCTCTCTGTCACTTGAAGGATATCCTGGATTGGACTAATCTGCAAACACCTTATTATTGGAGCTCTGCCTGACCAACGTAGGGAGACACGTACACTCAGCTTTGACTTTATTCACACAGGATGTGTGTCAAAAAATCTGTCTTTTCCCCCCTTTGTTATAATGCAAAAAAGTACATTAGATACATCTTCATATTAAGGTTCGATTCCCAGAGAAACCGAATATCCCTAATGGTGCCTAAAGTGTTTGAGTTACTAAATGGCGCCTCCGGTTCCAACCCACGTAAAGACATAGATTGTAAATTTCCCCATTATAGGATGAATAAGGGACTTAATTATTATTATTTTTTATTATTAATGAAGACCTTAAAAACAATTAAAACAAATGCATTAAACTGCTTTGAATTAGATACTAAAAACCGCCTTCAGCGGTGTCCTGTTTGTTCAAACCCACATCCTAATAATTTCATTATGGCCATTGAAAGCATCAATTATGCAGAAGTGTAGTATAACGAGTCGTTACATCCTAGATAACTCATGTAGCCGTAATAACGCCATTACTGAAGCAACGAACCCACAAAGCACAATTTAACCACAGCTGCAACGTAATCCACGACAAAAAACATCAACGCACAATAGAACTGTTAAATTATTAAAAATACAAAATTAATTTTATTCACCAAAACCTCAGGTTATTTGTACACAAAACCCGTCCTCCTCTCTTTCTTGAAGAAGAGTTCAGTTACACTGTTGTACAGTTGATCTGTGTGTTTCACTTCTTTTCTATCTCCATCCCTGTTACTGATGAAAGTCCAGTCTGTCCTGTCGTATGTATGCCATAGGTTTTTTAAAAAAAAATTTGCTTTAGGCTGAGAATGTTCGCTTGACAGAAGCAGTGGACTTGGAGTCAGTTTCCTAGATTCAAGACTGTTCTCTGACCATCCAATCGAATCACTCAAAATGCCAACATAACGCTGGGCCAGCGATATGCCAGTTTAATGCCAGCTCAAAATCTGATTGGTTAAAGAAACAACATCATTGCCATTCATTTTAGGCTCTGAAGGCCTAAGGAATGTGGCAACCCATGAGACTGAAATATGATTGGATAAAAAATGTGTGCCTGGAAGCAGCGAAAGAAGATAACGATAATGAATATTGAGAACAACTGCTGTATTATTTTATAAATATTCATGATTGTATCATGCATTAAAAAATCACTGATCCTGATACTGTATTTTTTAGGAGGCCTTTGAGTATCTCAAATCTTTACTCATATCTCGAAGCAAAAACTACTACTACTACTCGAAGGCTTGCTCCTATCTCTAAATACTCATATGTCGAGATGTTCATATCTATCTCGAAATACTCATATGTCGAGATGTTCATATCTCCAGGTTCCACTCTATTTGTATAGTCAACAATTATTCCAAAATATATTCACTAGTTGCCGCCCTAGTACTGTGCTGTTGGAAGAACATCAGATTCACTTGCACACTATGTCCCCGATGAATAATAACAATAATAATAATAATACAAAGTAATCTTTATAGCCAAGGTCTTCCTGTTTGACCAAATGTTCCTGTTTGTCTCCGTACAGATGCCGACGAATGCGCTGATGGCACTGATCACTGTCATATTGATGCCCTCTGTCAAAACACACCAAAAGCCTACAACTGCATCTGCAAGCCAGGGTACAAAGGAGATGGGAAGCATTGTGAAGGTGAGTGAGGTTTTATCGACTTTCTCCTCTTTAACTCTCGTGTTTTCGTCTCTTTTTGTAATTGAAAGTTCTACATCTGCATTTCATCCTCTTTTTTTTTCTACAAAAAGGAAGTATGAAATATGCTGTAATTTATTTACAGTAGTGGACATGTTTCTGCAAGATGAGTTGCTGGTGTAGTTTTGTTTAAGTGTCTCTGCTGTCTTTCTTCACGTACTGCCCTTCGTTGCGACTAAATGTAGCTAGCTAAGAACGTTTGGGGAATGAGCTGATGGTTGTAGGACAACTTGTGCTGCAAAGGTTCTAAGGTAGAAGTTCTTCGTATTTTTGGACTTTCCCACAAATTTCTCGAAATTTCTTTTTGAAAGATTATTTTGAGTGTCTACATTAGCAACAGATGGGGATTTTAGTTAGCATGTTGTAGGATGTGAGCTGTGCTGAAGCAGGTTTCTTGACTGGGTTCTCTATCAGTTGGGGTTTCCAAGCGTTTGGGAGTCAACCCCCCGTCCCATCACATGTCACCCTTTAGGCCATTGACGGACATATAGCCTGTTGGTTTGAAAGTTCTAGTTTCACTTTCTTCCATCACCACTCATTTTGGGCTCCTCCCAAATTATACAATTTGGACAAGTTTGGCGGCCCGAATTACAAAGCTGAACTGGGCCTTAGTTTGCACATGCCTGGGTTAGACGTTGGTGCTAATAAGTTTAAAGATATTTGAAGGAAAGGGTTGTCAAAGCAGTGCAGGAGAGAGAGGGAGAGAGAGAGAGAGAGAGAGAGAGCGCCAGAGAGACAGAGAGAGAGAGAACGAGTGACTGTCCACTATGATGTTTTATTCTATTTGCACTGATGGCAACAGCTTCTGACAGGAAGGCAAAATGAAGACTGATAGTGCCTCATCATGACCTCTGACCTTGTTGATTAGATATGGCTGCGTGTTTGGCCAGCTGTGTTTTCCGTCAACAGACATTATGGCTAACATTGATGGCCTGTGCCATTAGCTAGTGTAATATTCCTGGAAGCATCAGGAAACACTCGATTTCTTCAGCTGGCTGTTGATCTCGGCTCATCTGTCATCGGCAACACTCTAGCCAACAGTCGACCAACAGATTGCTAAATCAAGTCATGGATTACGGGAAATGTCATTAAGGTTTTGGGGAGGTAAAAAAACACCACAAAATATATTTTTTAAAATGTGAATCACCACTGCACACAATGAAATTTGTCCTCTCCCTTTAACCCAAATGGCTGCATATATCGGTATCAGTTGATATCGGAATCGGAAATTAAGTGTTTGGATATCGGCAAAAAGTTAATATCGGACATACCTAATCCCTAGTCATGATTATTTTGGTCAGTACTGAAATCAAAATCAATCAAGGCTTTGTATATATTGCACATTTATTTCACAGCGTGACATTTTCCTTCACAAATTCTTGGCAAATTTCCTATAAAATAGCTGAAAAAATATAATTTCTTTTGCTAATCATACAGATGCTGATCTTGTTATTATATATAGTCTGTGCTCTACTGTTTCTGCACTTTGTAGAAATGCCCTCTTATCTTTTGTCACGTTACAGTACTGCACACTTTGTACATATCATTAGTTTCCCTGCTGTTTAACAATCAAATGAATAGATTAATAATACAATAAAATACTTTATACTTCTGAATCACTTTCAGCAAATTTCAATTTTGAAATTCTATGCAACTAAGGAGAATTCCTTCAGCTGTGCTGCCTGTCAGTGAATTGAAAAAAAAAATAACATAGAATTATTCTTATATTTTACTGTTGTATATCCAATTGTTGCTCTAATAGACACATTTGTTATTTGAACACACTGTGGGGAAGAGGTTTTTGCTTCATGAAGCTATAAATACCAAGCGACTGACAGGGTGACTGACAACTGTCAAATTGATTGTGAGGGTCTGTAGACTGATTGATATTGTTGAAGACGAGGGCACTGAAGACTGAAAAAACAACACTCAACATATTTAATAATACATTTATCCAAAGACTTACATGTGGGTGAGGAGTCAATAGGAAGTCCTTCTGGGAATCAAACCCAGGACTCTCTGCTCTTAGCTTGCAGCGCAGGCATCCTAACCGCTACACTAAGGAAACCGCTAGATTTTTATTTTTCCTGTTTTAATCATGATTAATCATAATTAAGTACGACTATGGTTCAGGATGATTTACCCACAATTACCTTGTCATTAATATGAATAGAAACTGTAAACGTTTGACAACCCAAACAATAATTACCTTTAATTTTTCCATCTTATATAAAACGTTAGGTTAATAGCTCATAAGGACTCCCGTTATTTGAATGTATTTCTTGTAGAAAAAGACGAAAAAGTACTACGTGTAACAGATTGATATAATTATTGCTCATCTGAAGGGGCCAATTTGGGGATAGCTCTCGTTGGAGATCCGTTAACTTGTGTTGTGTGTACATAATTGACTTCCAGTAAACATGTCTGCTTGTCTTCATGATGAAGAATCTGGCATTTATTTGGCTTCTTCTTCTTCTTCTTTTTTGTACAGTTTCAACCCAAATATATGTTGATCATTCAGTCTTATGTGCCCTCTTCAAAGGAACTGCACTCCAACCAGAGTCACCATGCTAATTATCTTAAAAGAAAGGATTTGAGGATGCAAATTCACTGTACACAGCACGGCGGCACGTGTGTCTTCGTTCCCCGATCCTTTCATCTGAACATCAGAGTTGTGGTTTTTGTGTGCATGTGATTACCTTTGTATGTGTTGCTCTCAGTCTCAGTCATTTGTGTGTAAATATTTGTGTGGCAGACAGGGTTGTGTCTTTCTGCAGGATGTGGTTGTTGAAAGCCTGCGTTTATGTGTGTGTGTGTGTGTGTGTGTGTGTTGTGAGCCAGCGTTTCAGTCTTGGTCAGAGTTGTGTATCCCAGTAATAGATCAAGTCAGCCAGGTTAGGTTACAGATGGTTTGAAAATCTTTGAGAAACTTTGGGATGACAAAGACAACTTGGTGTCAGTCATGAATGTGATGAATGGATAGCAAGTAAATGGTGTTGTTGTGGCGATTTCCAGTAGGGAAAACCTCACTGCTTCCCACATAGTATACTGTTCATTGCTTTTAAAGTGGGTGCTGCCAGGGGGCGCTAAGGGCTTCAGAAAATTGGAGGTAAAATTATGCATAGTACGTACACATATATAACATATGTACAGTATATATATACACATATTTGTATTGTTGTACTTATATATGTGTGTGTATATGTATGTACTTTATTTCTGGAATATAAGTCGCACAAGCCAAAGGATAAAAAAATGCGACTTACAGGAGTAGCAGATACTGGTGCCAAGGCTAGAGTGGCCTTTCGCGGCTGTCAGTGTGAAAATAACAAACCTTAACCCTAAATCCAAGTGGGGTGGGTGAGTAGAAAGAAGTGACTTTAAATGGCAACACGTGAAGAGGCTTAGATCAAGAATGAATGATAATACCGTGGCGTCGTTGAAGGATCATTACATTTTCTAAATAAAACATCTTTCAGACTTTTAAACTGGCAGCTATTTCGAGGTTGGATGCAGACCGTGCACTCCTGGGAAGCATGAGACAACCTAAAAAAAAATCTATTGCGACCCACCTGAGGGTTGCGACCCAGTCTTTGGTAAACAATGTACTATTGTATGTCCCAGAACTGATTATTATAACATTGTTCAGCAAGTCTGTATCAAATAAGTAGCTCAAATAAGTGCCACCAGGGGGCCACCAAAAGGTTGGTGACCCCTGGTCTAACATTTCTAATGAAGACATTACTAGGGATTACTGGTAATCCCTAGTAATTGGGTGTGTGATGATGCACAGGTGCAGATGATTAAAACGGCTTAAAAAAAAGGGAAGCAGCGTGTACAAGTCTCACAGCTCGACAGAAAGTCCCTACAGGGACCGATGGCAACTCACTGTGACTGGACTGTTGGCAACTAGAATGGGCTGCTGGTGTTCCTCTACATCACACAGGAGCTGCATATTTACAAGGGTATTTCCTGAGGGGGAGTTTGAGGTGAGGAGGATAAGTGGTGGGGGGTGAGAAGGGGTGACAATAGGAGGACAGGACTTGCTGGAGCCCTGTTGATGAGGAACCTACTTTTTTTCCCATTTATTTTGAAGAATATTGGGATGTAGGAGTTTAAGGTTCTCGACAACTTCAAGCCTCGGCACAAACCCTGTAGAAACGTTGTGTCAGAGAACACAGTGTGGAAGGCCGTCTTCCTCTCCGCCTGTCAAATATTCCATGTCTCGCATGCAGGGGCAGGACTGTTTATTTAAAGCAGTTCTGCATGGTAACCATATTTGACAGGCTCAACAACGTAGGTGGGGCTAATGAGTACAAACCAGATGACACTCTCTGGACTCTCCTTGTTTTCGTGTCATTGTACTTTCTTATTTCTGACCTTATGTGGGGACACGTTGAATAGTGATTGGCCTTCTGGAGTCAGGGTCTCTTTAACTCTTCGGATGACACAAATGTTTTTTCTCTTCCAGACATTGACGAGTGTGAAAATGACTACAATGGGGGATGTGTCCATGAATGCATCAACATCCCAGGAAACTACCGGTGCACCTGTTATGATGGATTCAACCTGGCAGGCGATGGACACAATTGCATGGGTGAGAACAGTAAAGTATAAAACACACACTTATTTCAAATTAGACAGGTTGCTGTGTGATGTGACCTTATGTAATATAGTATAAAACAACAAAATATATGTAGACATATACACAAACGATCACGATTCTTATTACATATGATATAACATAACTACGCTGATATTGGCCGATAATATCCGACAGCTGTATACATATCTGTTTATCTATCTATCTATCTATCTATCTATCTATCTATCTAT